AAGCCTGCAATCCCAGCTACTCTGGAGGCAGAGTGAGCTATGAGAATCGAGGTTTGAAACCAGCCCAGGCAGTGAAGTATATGACTCTTATCCCTGCTAGCCTTGAGCTGAAGAGCTGAGGGACAGCGCCCAGGCCCAGAGTTCAGGCCCCACGACCAGACCCAAAAAAAAAAAAAAAACTATTTCCCGTGAAAGGAAGTAGTTTAGACCCATCAAACTCCATCCACTTAAAGACAGATCACCTGCAGAGAGTTCCATTGGAGGAAGGTAAGAAAGCAAAGTTAAAATGTTGCAAGCCAAATACCTGCAGCACTCTACAGATGAAGCCTTGCTTAGCAACTCAAATGTTGTCTAGCAAACACCCAGGCCTGTAATAGAGCATGACAACTGTTCACTCTAAATCCGTGTGCTCAGCTTGGTTTCAAGATTGATTTATAAAAATAGCTGCTCCTGTTAACTGGTCTTTGAATCCAGGCGCTGATGACTGGGCACTGTTACCCTATAGGCCTGGAGCAGCTGTATTTTCCCTTGCCACACCCACTTCGCTGCCTACCCGGCCAAGCTGCGGAGCCCCCCCCCCCCCCCCCCCCCCCCCCCCCCCCCCCCCCCCCCCCCCCCCGCCCCCCCCTCTCTCCAACACTGCAGCCTCCTATTCTCCCTCCTCCTGGGCTGACTGAGCAAATTGCAAGCGCAAATATCCCCTGATGCAATGCCACAACCATCCCTGGGAAAGATCGAAGGCAGTTGCCAAAAACTGCAGCAGCAAATGAAATGGGCGGGAAATACACATACATATACATACATACACACACACACACACGGAGAACCAGAAACACAGCAATGCTGTGTGCACAGCCAGGGAGGGAGAATCGAGAGGCCCTAGGGACCAATACTGTAACTGGACCAGCCTAGGGAAAGGAGAAAAGAGGGGGAGGGGGGACGGGGTTGAGGGTTGTTTGCAGTAGAAAGATGGGTAACACTAACCAACCTTTCCAAGAAATATAAGTTTCACACACACCCGGGTCTGGGTTCTAAAACACAAACCTGAAGGCGATCACTCTGCCTCCCTCCTCCTCCACCCCCCCCCCAGGTAGCAAATGCATTTAATCCCCCTCCCTTTCAGGGAGATAAGCAAATACGACCTCTCTCCCCTCCTTCCCTAACTCGGTCCTACCCTCCACCTCTTAACCCTCCCACCCCCACCCCCGCAACTAAGCAATTTCGAGAAAGAAAAAAAAAAAAAACAATTCAGGCCCACACACCAACGCTGAACTTGTAACCATGTGCTTAAAAAAAAAAAAAAAACTAAAATCCCAGGTTCGGAGTAACGTTTCCAACTGTCGCTCTCAGTCCTCCAGTCCCTGTCTACTCCCCTCCCCCCCCCACCCCCTGCACCCTAATTCGATCCCCAGCACCCTGGCTCCCCCTTTGACATGCTTCTAAGTCCCCAAGCTGCCAGGACCCACGCGGGATGGGAGGGTGGGGAGCGGGGGGGGGGGGGGACGCG